AAAATAAAACTTAGGAGGAGCGGCTGAGGGAATTGGGGCTGTTTAGCCTAAAGAAGAGGAGGCTGAGGGGGAGACCTGATTACAGCCTACAAATACTTGAGAAGGGATGGTGGGGAGGTAGGGGAAGGGCTCTTTAAATTAGGGTTCTGAAATGTTGACTCTAACTGTTACAGAGCTAACATACCACAGTTTTCAAACACATGATAATTAGCTGAGGTACATGTATTTAAAATATCAATAAATAGGCTTCCCAGGGAGGTGGTTGAGTCCCCATCCCTGGATGTGTTTAAGAAAAGGATGGATGAACTGCTTAGGGATATGGTTTAACAGGGGATTAGGGACAGTTGGACTGGATGATCTCTTAGGTCTTTTCCAACCTAGAAATTCTATGAAATCTATGAAATCCACTGCCTGCTTCAAATCCTCCCCTGGGAACAGGTATCCAGCTGTACCCGCTGCCAGATGAGCACAGTGAGCGGCATGGGATGCCTGCCTCCTGCTCTGGGAATCACTATTATCATCTGAAGCCTTTGGGATCTGGCAAGTACCTGATGCAATACTAATTGTGGAGGATGTGGTGCCTGTACAGCTGTAGTCAGGACACCTGTGTACAGATAGTCCTACAATTCCCTCAAATGCTGGATGGGAAAACGGTTGCTGTACCTGCTTAGGTACCCCCTTGGAGGTAAGCTATGACTTCTGACAACTCCTGTGCATCCAATCCAGCAGCACAGGAGGCAACGCTCACTTACAGGTGTGGTCAGTGGGGTCAGGACTTGCCAGCAAGGAAGTGCTTCAGGTGGGAGGACACACAAGCAAGAATTACAAGGTTCTTGGCCATCTTGGTCATAGGACGGTCCTTGTTTTGCATGAGAGAGATGCAGCACTGAAGCAGGCAAATGGATGCTAATAGGCAGAGCAGCCCTCTTTGATTACAAGGAGACTTAGGGTGAAAGTTAGCTGTGATGTTTCTCCAAGCGAACAGCCCAGTTAGTCTAGTTTGTAGGTGTGCCACAGAAACAAGAGACAGATAAAGCTTTCCTGCCCTTACCGTCTGCTTGCAAAGACAAGGGTGGACTTTTTTGAACAACATGGACTTCTGACCTATGGAGGTCAGTGGTGGGTAGCTTCATGCAAGGGAAGAACATCAAATCAAGCCCTGGCAATCAGCAATACACCATTGCAAACTGGCTGGTGCACACAGACATACAAGACAGTCCTAGCTACCTGGCTAAGATTTCCCTCTGGAAATTAAAGAGACACTTATTTCTCCAAGCACTTATTTCTTGAGCACTGTTTTAATGGAAAGGAAAATAATGCAGAGCCAAGCTCTCAATCACTTTGCAGAAAAAGAAGCCCAGAGTTTCAAAGTTTCTCCTCGTCATTAGAGAGACCACTGGCTGGGCTACTGGTTGAATCCCGAGTGGTTCAGCACTAAAGTAGCAGCAATACCTTCTCTTGATTATTATCAAGCATTAATCAAATCCGTCCATCTTCCCGGCAGCCAATTCCCAGTAGCAGATGCTGGGATAAAAGGCACCCATACGCACCCTGCCGAAGCACACATCCTGTGAAACACACCTTCAGCGCAGGCACAGCCCCAGTATTTCCTCAGCCCTCGGAAGGAGCAGAGATGGGACATGGCCTTGGCTACACAGAGAGCCAAGCCGCAGGTCTGGGGCAGAGCCCAGGGGTCTGACTCTGCCCAGGCCAGTGCTGCGCTCTGTGCTCTCATAGCCACGCTGGAAACCTGCTGGTGGCCAACCGAAGCCACCATTGGAGGAAGGTACTTACGTTTAGCCATGACTTTATTCAAGATGTTGCGCAGTTCGAAGGCAGAGATCTCTGCATCCTGTGGAAAAGAGGAGAACAACTGAAATATTCTATTCTGTTCACTGGGAGCTGCAGACCACCTCACAAACAACCTCTGACTCCTTTGGGTGAGATGGCCAAGTTCAAGCATCCCTTGGAATTCTGGTTTCCCTTGGAAGGAAATGCAAGTGGTAAGCTCTCCCCACCATTCGCTCCCAGTAGCCCAGCCCTGCTGTGCATTATCAGGCCGGGCTGTGGGGTCTGCCCGAGCCCTCGGGCAGGTGAGAGCAGCCCGGGGAGAAGACACAGCCCAGCCCTCGCTGTGTCCCAGAGGGACCCGCACGCACAGACACCAAATGCTCTGCCCAAGGGACGGAATTAGGGACCTGCAAAGATATAAGCCAAGCCTGTAGTTCAAAGAGTGGAGATCATTTGCCAGGAGCGCTCACAGTTCTGTTGCGTAAGCGGACGGGTAACTACACAGATTTCTGCATGCACGATTGGGCACAAGCTTGAGATCTGACTCAGCACAAGCATCAAACTCCACGCTGGGGCCGAGGCGTCCCTTACCTACTCACGCATGCTACCAGTAAGTCCTTAAAAAAACCAGATACTCACACTTCCTGCTAGCTGTCCAAAAAGCTTTTTAAAGCTTGGTTCAATGTCATCTTCACTGATCTCGGTCTAGAAGAGAGAGAAACAGAGAATATGGAAAGGAGGAACTTTTCTGCCTGAGAAGGCCTTAATGCATTCCCTCGTTCCTAGCGAAACAAAATTTAAGTGGCAAAGTCGAGGGTAAAGTAGGCTTTTACTTTGATTTTAATCAGTTTTATTTTCAGGGGCACCTCAAAATGCTGACATTGCAAACACTGCAGGAATTAAGAACTTTTGCAATGGCTTTTACTAAAAATAAAATAAAATAAAAATACTTTATTTAAAAAAAAAATCACTACCAAATTCAGAACTTCACTGTTGCTGCTGCTGCTATTAGATGTTATCATTTAAAGAAAAGAAAGCAAAACATAAGTTCTTATCTTGAAAAAAAAAAAAGAAATAAATCACATGGAGTGGTAGATGCCTTAGTAGGTGAAGCATCTTCAGCAAGACTAAACATCTGGTGAGCCACTACTTAAAAACACACCTATGGCTAACGGCTGCACTCTGGGATTCCTGCAGAGCAAAGGGAATTTCCAATGGCTCCAGCTAGCTCTGCAGAGAGGACCTGATCTCCTCTACCCGGGAAGGCCAAGCTCACCGCTCTGGATAAAGTACGACACGTGTTTCCATTATTGCTTACGATGTTTCCATTTGCTGGACGTTCAACTATGGATATTGAAAAATCTGTTTCCAAAGTGGGACAACAGCTCTTGACAATGCCTATAGAAAAACGCTGCCCTGCACAGGGAACAGAGCTCCCCAACCCCACTTATTTACAAGAAAATTATCTCCACTTAAAAATATTTAACTTAAGATATACCTCTTCAAAATTGGCCTCAATTTCATCATCTATAACCCTAGAAAGATAAAAAAAAAATCAGTATTAAACCCAAAACAACTCAGTTTTCTGATGCCCTTGCTTCAGGTTTTGGTTACAGAGAGATTCTTTAAATGATGGGAGTAACGACGAGTGTTTGCAAATTACTGGATTAATCAGCCACAGACATGCATACCACCAGTGAAAGCAGTATTTTACCAGCCATGGTAACAAGAGTCTCAAAACACATTACAAACCGTGCAACGTCCCACAGAGCCACAGACAAGATTTTGGGTCACACGCAACCCTTTGGGTCTCTTAGTGCCACTGCCTACAGACCTCAGCCCAGGACCAGGCTCTCGGGTGCAAATCAAACTTTATCTAGTAGCTTTTCCCCCCCCTCCCCTTTTTCTTTTTTTCCTTTAAAACTGCAAAAAGTGACTGTCTTAAAGTCATTTGGACGTGCCAGAGTCGGAGGAGGAGCATTTCACGCTGTCCCCCAGCTGCTGTGGGAGCATCACACCTACGGATGGAGCACAAGCACTGCCACGGGCCCATCAAAAGCAGAATGTGCCTTCACACAGCTGGCAAACCTGTTTTCTCACCGCTACAGAAACACACAACAAAAGATTTCAGAGCAGTAGAATGGTTTTTGCTAGCTTTGAATTAGGGAACTCAATACAAAAGACCCCACATCCCTTCCCAAGGCCTTCACCCAGCTGCTCTTTAAGGTGCGACATGTCTAAATTCTTTCATGGCTTCAAAGCTAACAGTGTGGTTGGAGCCAGTTCCATTAAAACCCATCTTAATTTTATCAAAGGTATCATTTGATTGAGCAAGCATCTTGAATTTTTTTCCAGCCTGATCTCAAAGGCGTGAGATCAATTGTTGTGATCAGTGTGTTCCCAGGCAGCAGAGCCGGAGATCGCCCACGTGCCCCTACCGCTCTTACATGACTACGAAAAAAAAAAAAAGCTACGTACGTGGAGTCTGCGTTTTTTTCAGAGAAGACTCGCAGACAGAAATCCCCGTTCTTGTTGGGTTCGAAGGTCGAGGGCACAATGATGTATTCTCCAGCAGGGAGCTTGAACCGGTTCAAAACAGCACTTCTCGGAGGTTGATAAAGGTGTTTGATTTTTCTCTTGCTTTGTTGGTGAGGAAGAAGTTCTTGCTCAGATGAATATTTGTCTGGCCAGAAAACTTAGGAAAAACAAAGAAAGAAGGAAGAAAACCCAGCAGTTTGCATGTATTTGCATTTAAAAAAATAAAAATATAATAGATATGACAATTAGGTGGCAGGGGGAGGGGGGATAAAAATATGTCTGTTCCACAGAACTGAAAGAGGAAAGAGAAATGGGTGGGCGCATCCCACCACAGTACTCCTGAGCTGTGGGTGCAAACGTATTTTGCAGATCATCTCAATAAATCATTTGGGTCTCACACTTGTGTTTTGCAGATGATGATGGGTACGTGTAGACTTTTGGCAAATTTTTCCACCAATTTTTCTTTAAAACAAGATGGCTTACGACTGATGTCCCTCTGGCCTCCAGAGCTGGTGCCACCAGGGTACTGCAGCTCAGCTCTGCCTCTGAGGTCAGGCTGCCCTAAAGAAGAGACCCCACCTATGGAGGCCTCCAAGAATAAAATAAGCGTTACGCATTATAAAAGCATATTTAGAGTGTAAAATCTTCCAGAATAAACTTCTGCTCAGAGTCTTACAGGTGGGCTAGCTCAGCTCCAGAAACAAACATCAGGAATGTGGATGGTTCAGCAACCTCCCCCTTCCCATCCTCCTGGATTTTTAAGAATGCAAAACCTGTCTGACCCGCTGCCATGGCAGGAGATAAAATTCCACCTTTTAGGGGAGAAAGAAAAGTCACGGGACTGTAGAGTCTGTTTTTTATGGAAATCAGATTTTTGGACCACTAGAGTGAGGCCGAGCAGCTCATGGAGAACTGCTAAAGCACTCAAAAGCTATGTAAGAAATTTAATTAACTGGCAGCATCATTTCCTTCCTGATGAAACCAAGTTTCACATGGCAGCAGCTGGTTTGAGCATAGCCTCAGGAGCCGGGAGATGCCCCAGCTGCTTTGCATGCACCCTTGCAGGTACGGCAAGCCCCGTAATGAGGTTATCCTGGCGTTTTGTTCAACCTCACTCGCTCCTCTGAGGAGCAACAGCTCAGAGGCATCTGCAGAACTGCCCTGCACTGCAGAGGCATCGCTGCCTTGCACACCCCTCTCTGATCCCCAGGGCATGCTCTAGCTACCTGCAGGTAGACACAGAGAGAAACCAATAAAGACAGTGCTTAGGGAAATGAAAACAAACGCCTCCTTGGAATATTAGTTGTGTGTCAAGCATGAACTCTGTGCAAACCTGAGAAACGCAGCTGTGCTCTGGGGGAGCAGGTGTGGAACTGGGCTGGGAGAAGACTCGTGGAAGAAAAGCTTTGGTAGTTTCTGTGGTACAGAGAGTTCTCATCCCAACCCAAGACGCTCTGGAAACACAACACGGGCTCCAGGCCCCTTCCAGAATAAACGGCCTCTAACTTTAGACTCTCCACAGTCAACATTGTCTTGCAGTGAAGGAGGACCCTCTGAACCGTTTCTTCCCACAAGCCATTCAGCCCCAAGTCCGTACTTTGACCACCACTGCATGCTACGTACCTCTGGGGGCACCTGCAAGGAAAAAAGGAGAGAGTTATTTGCTTGTGGAATGGAGGCTCCAGGGCTATTTCTTTTCACTGCTGGTTAGTGAGTACATCCACACTCATGGAAAAAAACCCAAACAAACAAAAACCAAAGAGTCAGCTCAAGGGGGAAGGCGAGCGCTGAGCCCACCTCACCCAATGCTGACTGCTGGCTCTGCTCCCAACTCCATCCCGGAGGTCGGTGGGGCTCCCCCGGGGCAGTGCGGGCACAGCCCGGCACAGGGCAGCCAGGCTGGTCATGGTTTTCTGCTGACCCTCTGCCCTGCAGCCTACCACGACAGTTTTTTGTGGACTCAGTTTCTCTATTTCTTTCCACTTTCTCTGTCACCCTCCTGCCCCTCTGGCCTCTCCGCCACCAGGAGAGGAGGCAGGGGCTGAGCAACCTGCAGGCAAAATCATCATTCCTATTTTCCCTACCAGTTAAGCATCGCTGCTTTGCAGCTCTGAACAAAATGTCCTGCTTAAGGAGTTACCACAGAAGTGTCTCTGACCCTTTATTCAGCAGAATGAGTTTTACAGGTGTTTTGGCCAGTTCTGCTGCTGGGTTCCCAGCCAGCGTGACATCCCTGCCACAGCTGATCTCATTCTGCTGCTTTTCACCTCAGCCTGAAAAGTGAAGCTCAGACTGGATTTCTGCATTTTATTTTATTTTTAAATACTTTTTCTGCTCTTCTATCTAGAAGCACACAATATTATATAGGTGGGAAGAGGCCTCTGTAGGTCATGTGGTCCAACCCCCTACTCAAATCAAGGCCAATATCAAAGTTAATGACACTGCTCAGGACCTTGTCCAGACTAGGTTTGAATATCTCCAGGAACGTAGATTCCATCATCTCTCTGGGTACCTGTCCCTGTGCTTGACCACTGTTATTGTGGAGGATAATTTTCTAAACAGAATCTAAGTGGAATTTTCCTTGCTGCAGCTGGTGTCCAACTCAACCCAGCTGAGTTTTGATAGTGCCGTTCTCAGACTGGGCTTTCCATCTCATTTATAGGGTGAGAGAGTTTTCTTCCCATGCACCTGTACGGCCTTACTTGCCTCATAAATCGCAAAGCCGATGGTGTGCATGTCCTCTCCCATCTTCCTCTGCTTCCGCCGGTGCTTCTGAATCAAGCCAATGAGGAAAGTGCAGCCCCTCTCGGGATCATCGGGATCCTCATCTTCTTCCTCCAGCTTGATTAAATACTGTGGATTCGTCCAGAAAGTGTCTGGAAAGTGGATTTATGCAAACGGCTCAGAGGCTGAAAGCAGCTGTGCTGATATATACATTGGTTAGGACAGATGCGGCTCTGACCGCCAAAACCAGCTGTGACAAGGAAAAACTAACAGTCCCCTCCCAGCCTTTATATCCACAACTAGATCCTCACCAGGGAGCCAAGTTTCCCAAACACTTGCACTTTTTGGACATCAGTCCTGGATATCCCAGGTACGTCCTGCTGCTCCATAGGCTACTCCAAAGCAGCTCCCAGAAGTACCCAGAAGCAGCTCCCAGAGCAAGTACAAGTGGCTGAGTCCAAAGGGTTCCTCCATCACAGCGGTGACCACGCGCTCTTACTCGGGTAATTCCTGCAGCCCCCTGCGGTGGCTCCTCGCCTCCAGTTCCCATCCAGCTTCAGCAGGCTCCACTTCTTGTACTTGTCACTTGCCAAGGTGTCTGGAGTCAGGTTGCAGATCTCCAGGCGGGAGTAATGTCTCAAGAAGTCGTTGAACGCCATCCTGTGGGAGACAACGCCACCAGCAACGTCTCCTTAGAACGGACAGGTTTTCTATACAACCACCTTGCCTATCCTCCCACTGCGATTTAGCACTGGGATTTGGGGTGAATTTGCTCACTCATCTTGGAGAGTCTACTGGGAGAGTTACTTTGTGTGAAAAAAGCAGAGGAGAAGACATTCCCTTCGGCCTGAATGGAAGCCCAGTGCTACTTACCAAAATTCCCCATCTTCGTGCCTCCTGGTGAGCCGCTCCCGCACCTCAGGGTCAACGCTGCTCCAGTTTGGGCAGCTGAAAGACAACCCCACATCAACTACAGGGCGCAGTAAAGGTTAAACTCTAATGTAGCTGTTCCGGCACCACGATTTCACTTTCTTACAGCCCTGCACAGTTGCAATACTCCACAATATCTTGCTGATAGCAGCTCCAGGGCTCTCAAACCACAGCAGAATTAAAACACAGGGACCTGGGATATTTGATACCTCATTTCTTAAACATCCAAGGTAAGGATCAGACAGAGAGTTTTACTTGCAGAAAGTGCTAATTCCTTGACTAAGATAGAGCTTTATTTTAGAAAAAGCAAGACCCAGAATAAATACTGCCCAGCCACAGAAGCAAGTAAACTCTGGCTTCTATTGCTAATGACACAAATGGATTTTTAAAGCCTTTTTAGAAAGTAAGTTTTCAGAAGCTCACCACTGAACCCGGGCTGTTAAACAAGCAGAAACTACAGAGAGGCTTGCAGGAGCCACTAACCAAATGACTGCATCTTACACGAAGGCAGGTGTTTGTACGAAAGGCATCATGTGCTGTGACGCCTACTTGGGAGATGATAGTGGTGGGATGCTCCTGTTAAACAGCTCAGAGTGAACATCACATCCAGATGTGACTTCCAGAGGGAGAAGAAAGGTGACAGCAGAAACACGATCACACTCCTGCAGTAAAGGCCTACGGGCAACGCGCAAGTCATCGACTCACTTGTCGTTCCATTTCCCAGTCCACTCCACTTCCCCCCAGGGATTTCGGATTCTGATCAGCTTCTGCACAGTTCCTCGGAAGTTCACCTGATGGGATCAGAAGCGTATGGAGAATTACCCGGGGACTCAGCACTGTGCTCCCTTCCACCTTTTCTATGGGAATTGAAGGACATGACAGAGTATCTCAGTACTACACAAACACTAAGGTGTATGTACACAAAGACACACGCATCTGGTCCAAAAGACATGAAGCAAAAATGATTTTGCACGAGCTTCATGCATCCAAGCCTCCCAAAGAAGGTTTTGGTGCAATCAAAGCTCACAATAACCAAAACATCTGTTTTGTGCCGCTAAAAAGTTACATCTGATAGGATTTCAAGCAAAGGGAGTGTAAAGCTGCTACAGGACTGTCAAAAAGCAGGTACAAGGGGGTATTTCTCTAAAGCTGTCATCTGTGTATAAACTGTCCTTTCACATTCAAATGCCTTTTCCTCCCTCCCTATATATAACCTGAACTGCACCTATTACAAAAGGTGGGATCCTCAGCCTGGCCACAACCCCTCTGACCACAAGAACGCCCCATGGCACGAGCCCTGCCATGACAGCACCTCCTCGCACTGCGCCCAAGCCCTGGCTTCTGATCTGCTGATCTCTGCACACACAAAGTCCAGGTCAAGCAAAGCTGTGCATGGTTCAGTGGGAACACTCAGTATTTACAGAGAACACACGGCACTAATTTGAGGAAGGAGCTGGTGCACCTCTAGAGCCCAAAGTCGAGAAAACAGCACGGAGCAGCGGCAGTGCAGAGTCCAGAGACGATACCCCAGTGCCTGAGATGAACTATCTGCACAAAGCCTGCCCACATTTCCAAAGGAAAAGCCTGGCTAAGTCCTGCCTCTGTGAATTAAGTTCAAACAACTCCCTCTTTGCTGCAAGCAGAGGAGCAAACACAAGCACACAAACTTGCCTGTTAGCAGCATCCACCTCAACGCAGCTCTCTATGCCTCACTCTGAAGTTTCAAAAATTATTTCAGAAACCCTTTATCATTGAAGAGACCGAAAGTCTGTTGCTCACATACAAGGACGCCACGATCTGCTTCCTTTGTTCTCACATGTCTTATCTTCGCCAGTCACCTGCTCTTGGACCGGCACCTTGTGCTTGAACACCAAGCCCTGCTGAAAGGCACTGCTCGGCAGGCATTTAGGGATAACAATTTTTTTTTTTTTTTTTGCTTGGCACACGTCTCTGCACATCTTGCTGTGCATTTAAGGTACAGTGCAGCCCACTATGCAGAAAGGTTTTGAGGGGTTCCACCACCAACAGAGGATAGGGTGCCCTCCTCTGCACAGGGCTTCTTGCTACCCAGTTCATTGGAAAATTTCCATAAGCATCGTGCTCACAGAAAAAAAAAAAAAGGCTTTTTTTGGTTAAGACCCCAAAAAGCCCAGTTTGTGTTTATCCAAAACACAGCAACTAATTTGGTATTTCTTCACTCAAAACCTGATTCAGCAAAATGGGTGAGTCTGGAGAATTTGCAAGGTGGAAGATGAATTTTCAGCTGCCATGGCCCTGGCTAAGCACAAAACTTACTGCATTTTGCCCCTTTGGAGCGGCGCACCTACCTCCTCTGCTCCGGTGACTGAGTACGCGTGTCCCTTCACCAGCTTCTGGGAAGTGACCGCCTCCGTCTCCGCTGCACTGGTGATCTGGAGAAGCAAAGCAAGTTGGTAAGCGTGGCTCCCAGGGTGGCAGGGGATCCAACAGAGCAAAGCTTCCCTGTCCAATGGAGCTTTATCCTGGCTGGGAGACTGCAGGGGTGGTTTAGCTGCTGCACAGAAGCAACGAGTGCAGGGAGAGGGGACAGCAGCACGTGCGGTGGTGCTGGAGCTCCAGGGCCCACCTTCACAGCATGGGGTGCATGCCAGAAGTCCTGCACTGGAGCAAAGCTCCCTCTTGGCTCTGAAATGCTTGGTGTGGTCACACCCTCTCATGCATCTCCAAATGCCGTACAAAGGGGATACATGGGATGAACTCCGTGTTCTCAAGGGACCTGGAAGAACATCGGGGCGACCGGTTTGATGTTGCCCAGGTATCACCAGGGATCGCCCCCAGGTCCAGCAAGCCCCAGTGCTTTCCTTCAAGGTCGAAACACGTCCTTTGGGTCCACAGCGGGGTGGGAGGTTGCCCTTTCTTTCCCCAGCACCATCACCCTGGGACCTGCCATGCAGGGAAGCAAGGGGAAAGGCTGCACTTTGGATGCCGTTCATACCTGAAGGCATACCTCTCACTTTTTTGCAGCCATTACATTACTCGGGCAGTCTGGCCTACAAACACTGCAGAGAAAAGCCACTTCTTTCCAGAAAGTGACTCTGCTTGACATCTTGCTGTAATAATGCTTAACCCTCTATGAAACACACAGTTGTCATTGCCTTCTCACCATTTCAGAAAGTGTGTGAGCTTTAAACAAGCATATCTGATGCTTAAAAAAAGGAAAGGGTGGGATCAAGCAGGCAAGATTCCTGCTGTCAATTCATTCCCTATTACTGCCCGGCAGTGCACTCTCCGTGTAACACTTAACCTCTGTGTCCCTATTCCTCTCAGAGAAGAGAAGGAAAGATTTTACAGGATTTTTTCAAGGGCTAAACTCACTACTAAGTAGTTTACAACACAGAAAGTGTCAGCACTTACCAAAACCGGAACATATTCCGCTCCCCCCCACCCCACAACAAGAGATTTGTATCATTCCAGGGCAAAAATCCAGATGTCAGATTCTTATCTAAACACAAACAGGCAAAACAGGCCTCAAAAAGTGCTGCGAAGTCGCACACTGACATTAACCAAGTACTTTTCCTGCTGTGAAGCTTCCCTCTGCTGTGACTCTGATTTAACTTGAAAAATGGGAGGAAACATTTGAATTTATGTTATTAATGGAGTTTTTGTAAACAGCTTACCTTCCTTTTAGACATAACTAAGATGTAATCTCCTTTGGGAGTAGGGTGATTATCACAGTAACAATACTTAGGCTCATTTAAGTAAGGCTAAAAGCGATGCTGAATCCTTGCAGGTAGGGCCAAAGTTCCTCTTTTCCTTCTCATGCAGGTTCAGCTTTTGACAACGTGTTTTCCTATAAAGCCTTTTAAAAGCCTGGCAACAGTCCGAACCTCCCTGCTTCAAGAACAGAGCCCAGATTTTTTGGGAACATTTTAGTACGATCTGTGCGACAAGCAGGCTATAGCAAGGACAGAGGTTGCCATCTCTGAGTATCTGACTGCAGGAGCCATTAGCAGCAGCTTTCTGTCCAAACTCACTCAGCCTGCACCGACCCACTGCCAAGCTACATTCTTCTTAAGGACAAAGATATAAATCAGGACTCGTAAGGAGATCCCTGTAGGATTTGTTACCACAAACCTATGAAACAGCAAAAGCTCGAGGTCTTGAGGAAGAAACACGAAGGAGACAACAAGCTTCTACACATGAGCTAACGAAGCCTGCATTTCAATCTAACCCCCTAGAAGAGCACGTGCCTGGGATACACTCTTGGGTCAAATTCTCCAGAGACAAGGTAGAGCAGAGAACCATAGGCAGAGGGGACCAGTATCCTTCGTGCAACTCCTGCAGATGGAGCACAGGTCTGCCCCGTCGCTGCCTGCATGCACAGCAAGAGCTGAGTGTCCAGCAACAAGCCTGCTAACTCACGTCAATGGAGCAGCCAAGGAGAGAACCTTTCTGAAGTGCCTTCTGAATGATTCTGAAGAGGTTGGGTGGTGCCTTCTGCAGCTCATACCATTCCGCAATTCCACCGGTGAAGTCCTCAAAGCCTTCGGTGGTGGTGCCACCAGAGAGAGACTCATACGATCCATTCAGCCTACATGAAAGGGGACACACATACACACACAACCATCAGGCTCCCTATTCTCTTCTCAGACCCACAACCATCAGGTTCCCTGTTCTCCTCTTCTCTTGGAAAGAGGCACTGAGTTGTGGCAACTGTCACAGCATTTCTGCTTTCAACAGCTCCACGGCAGCTATCATTCCGCCTTCCATTCAACTTTGCTTCTTAGACCTCTGTACTTGGAAAGCCCGGCATAAAATCTTCTACAATCATGTATATAGGTTGCAGGTTCAGTCATGTCAATGACAAAAATCATGAACACTATTTGAAGAAAAAGTAGTATTAAAAAAACACCCACCTAACAATTTGCCTCTCTAGTTCCACACAGACCTTTAATCCCTTTAACAGTTATAGGTCTGATTTTCAGCTGATCTAAATTAGCTCAATTTCTTAAGTCAATTGAAAATAGTAATGTTAGATGGCAGAATTCCTCCCTGGCCATCCCCAAACTGGAAATTCAGATTTGAGCATCTTTACTTTGAACAGAGACCTGAGCAGATGGACTGGTGTGCTTTGCACACTGAAGCACTGCAGCTGCAAGCCCTCGCAGGTGTGTAGAGCACACGGAATGGAGCTTCCCAAGCCCCAGTGACAGGAGACGGTATTCTAGGAACAGCCTTGCCATAAGATACAAGAGCTATTTTTCTTAGCTAGCAACAAAGCCAATACTTTTGGCTACTTGTCTTAAGCACCCGTCAGTAAAGCTTTACTAAAGCAGCCGATGTGGGATATCCCAGAAGCTGTAAAGGCTAATAATTAGGCTGACATTTTAAATGCATAGCACCCATGCAGTTCAGGATGCTATAGGGAAGCAGAGGCATCGGGAGACTTGAGCGGGGTGAAAGCCTGGCCTTGACTCACTTGGCATAGGCCTTCTCCAGCAGCGCACTCCAGAACTCACTGCCCTCCGCTGAGTGCACGAAGAGCAGCTCCCCGTTCTTGGTGGGCAGCCTGTCGTCCACCACAACGTCCACCCACTCCCCGTACTGCCAGAACTGGAAAGAGAGCACAAACTCCTCGTCACCGCCCCACGCTGTGCACTCACATCACTGGGATGTTTCTCTGCTAACACCAATTTCCTCAAGGAAAAGCAATCCCCCTCGCAGTCAGCTTTGCCCACCCTGTTTGGGGATGCACGTCCTCAGCTGGATCTGCCGACAGAGGAAGGACCACAAACACAGCCCCCACTCCCACCTCTTTGGTTAGCTGTCTTCTTCCTTCCACCACCATCACCCTTCTTGGATTTCTCCATTTTTCTGCCTAGCTCTTCGACGTTTTTCAAAATGTTCTAGGAAACACCATGCACGTAGACATGGCCAGCCACACCAGTTCCTGGCTGACAGCACTGAGGAGGGAAGGCAAGAGCCAGTTTTCAGCTCACCTGGAAGTGGAAAATTCCTGCATATTTATCCTGGAAGCTCTGGTCTTTGGGAACGACACGGGCCAGAATTTCTTCATTCAAGGTGAGAGAGGCAATAGCAGCCAAGAGCCAACAGTCCCCTGTAGGGGGAAGGAAAAAAAAAAAAAAATTGAGTTCATCATTCAAATTTTAGTTTTTCTACTGCATAGGGATTGTGCATTATAACTAATAACCACTTCAGCAGCGATGAGATGGTCCCTCCCATCACTTTACGTCTAAGGCAGATCAAACGCACGTACGCAAACATTTCCAGGCAAGTTCGTGTTTCCTCAAGACCAAAGAAATAAAAAAAAAGTAAAAGCAGGCTTTTTATGATCTACCAGCACAGTTAGCACCCATGTGAGACTATTTGAAAGAAAACTTAATTGAATGTTTACAGGTTAGTAAGCAGCATGGGAAAAAGGCAAAGAGCCGGACCTGTGGGCACACATGGGTACTCAGCAGTGCAGGTTTTTCTGAAAAGACCAGTGTTTTCTCAAGAACAGGCTGTTTTCCTTTCCCTCCTCCATGTTTAATAAACGCCTGTTGACTTGCCGTCCAGAGGTCTACCCCATGGCTGAGCTCCCTTTGAGGCCTCTGGCCAGACTCCTACCAAACAGCAGCTCCTTTCACCTCCGGAGGCTCTTGCGAGAGGCCTCTCTGTTTAGTCCCACATCCCGTCTCTGGTGACAGTCATCAGAGAGTCAGGGACAGCCTGAAGGCAGGCACTGTTCCCCGGCCCCACACACCTCCTCACCCCTCCTGGGATGGGGCCAACAGGCTGTCTGGATAGTATTTTTCCACACCACCTCCTACCAAGCAGAGGCAGGAGGAGACCACAACTATACAAACATTACCTCCGTTTCCTGTAATTATTTTCAGAAATCAGCGTTACTTTAACAGAGTGGTTACCTGTCTGCTCAGCTGAGGGTATTCTGCAGCCTTCCACAAGGTGATTACAGATTTAAAGACCAGCTGATCCCCAGATTCCCACAACCCAACACAAAACTCCTTCCCATCATTACCCAGTGTAGCGGAGGGTGTCCCTGCCCATGGCAGGGGGGCTGGAACTAGATGATCTTTGAAGTCCCTTCCAACCCAAACCGTTCCATGATTCTATGATTACCAGATCCGATTCCTGTGTTCACAAAGCAAGACAAGTCAGAATTACACATTAGATCCCTGTGCTGGTTTTGGCTGGCATAGAATTCATTTTCCTCACAGTAGCTTGTGTGGGGCTGTGCTCTGGATTTGTGCTGGAAAGAGCGTTGATAATGCTGATGTTTTCATTATTGCTGGGCAGTAACACAGCACACAGCATCAAGGCCTTTTCTGCTTCTCACCCCACCCCACCAGTGAGAAGGCTGGAGGTGCACAAGATATTGGAGGGGACACAGCTGTGACAGCTGACCCCAACTGACCAAAGGGATATTCCACACCAAATGACATCATGCTCAGCATATAGACCTGGGCAAAGAAGGAATGGCAGAGTGATGGCATTTGTCTTCCCAAGTAACCATTAGGCGTGATGGAGCCCTGCTTTCCTGGAGATGGCTGAACACCTGCCTGCCGATGGGAAGCGGTGAATTAATTCCTTGTTTTGCTTTGCTTGTGCACATGGCTTTTTCTTTACCTATTAAACTGTCTTTATCTCAACCCACGAGTTTTCTTAAGTTTTATTCTTCCAGTTCTCTCCCTCATCACACTGGGGGGGAACGAGTGAGTGGCTGGGTGGGGCTTGGTTGCAGCTGGACTTAAACCAGGACAATCCCACCGAGCCATCCTGCAGCATGCATAGGGCTGTAGGTTCAAGAAGCAAGAGCCAGCCACACAGCTGCTAGCAAGTCCGAGGCCAGCAAAGCAGCGGTCTCTATACAGCCCGCTCTCTCCTATAGGAAAAGGGGCAAAAGCTCACAGGTGAGAGTAGAGTTCAAATAGGTGACTGGGAAAAAGCCTCAGAGAGAGGCAGCTCTTGGTCACCCTCAGGCTCAAGACCAAGGCACCACTTAGCACCAGGAGGAACACAGGCAAGGTGGGACTCCCTCCGGGCCGCCCATCGCTTTCCACAGCTGATCCCGGCAGCAGCTCTACGAATGACATTTGTCCCATGGCCCTTTTTGCATCTTGTGAAAGGTGGAAGATGTGGAATTTCAGAATAATTTCCAAACATGAGATGCTTTTACTATTTCATAAGCTAGAGGGGAAGAAATGAACGTAAAACTTTCCCTTCAGCCCTGCCGCTGGCTGCTTGTACTGCAATGGAGGAATTGTCACGTCAGGGAAGTTTTTCAAACAGGAAAAGTCACCTTGCCATTCTCCTGTGACAGATCATGAAGCAATGAGGACGTTCCCCTCCCTCCTCTGCGACAGCACATCCATCTTGCCCTGCAAAACGGCAACCCTTCTTACAGCCTCCTTCGCAGCGCTGAGACCCTCTTCCCAGGAGCTGCGCACCCTCTGCTTCAGATGTCCCGCCAAGCCCAGCAACTGCGCTTGCTGGGAAAGGGACTGGGGTCAGAAGGCACTAACAGACATTTTCAGATGGGCTAATCTGCAATTAGCAGCATGATCCTCTGTCCCCCAGCTGCACGAGGGCTTTGGCAGTTATCCTTCACAGCAATTCTCCTTACAAGGGAGGACATCGAGGAGCTCTGCAAACAAACTCCTCTTTCGACAGGCAACAACAGGACTTCAGCTTCAGTTCAGCTCAGATCTGTGCTCTCCCATACACAGCCAGCCTGCAAAAAGTTACTTTTTTGTGTTTTTTTCCTTTTGCCTTTTTTTTTTTTTTTTTTGACCAAGGGAGTCTTGAAACAAACCTGACAACACGGTAATCACTTGGGAGAGACTACCCAGAGATCCCTCTGTACTGAGGATCCCCATTTTTACTAAGTCTCCAAAGTAGTTTCCGGACAAGAGTTGGGGTTCCTAAAGCCCAAGAGAGAACTCCCTGCTAGAGAACAACCCTGGCTGCTAGAGAAAAGCCCCCTGACTGCGGCTCTTGTGGCATCAGGCTGAATTAATACTGTACTACCTCTGAAGTAGCATCATATTGTCTTCACCCCTGCCTCCTTCACTTGTTTTTCTCCCTCGTGCACTCATCACACAGCAAGTCAATTCATTAATCCAGACAAAAAAGTCTTTCTGTCGCCTTACTGAGTTAAAGGAGGTCACAGCTTGTGACAGGCCTCTTCTGGGCCAAGACAGCAGTAGGTTGTTATGTATTTGGCAGAGACACTGTGGGAGAAGGGGACGGATGTAAATACACACGTGCACTGGAGCAGCACACAGCCCAGGAGAGCTTAGCTCTCTCCATCAACACCTCAGCTCTGCTCGCAGGTGGATAAACCCTCAGCCTCCCTGCCCCAACACTCCCCTCCTAGCACCCAGGAGCCATGAGATCCTCAGTGTTTTTAAGACCAACAAAATCCTAAAAGAAGGAAAAGAGTGGGGATCTTCATCCTCCCTGCTGCACCACTGTCCCTCCAGCAGAACAATTATTCACACCTGGGAAAAGTTAGCAAGCCTTAGTGAGGCTCTTAACTTCTTACCAACAGTGATCTGAAAGCATCAGTAATGCTGGGAACAGGCATGAGACAAGTCACAAATACAGATATCGATGGGTTAACTGGTTTCATCTCAGCACAGAGACCAGATAACCCGCAGAGAGGTGTCTGTCGGAGCAGCAGAACAACCCCAGCACACACCCCAGGCTCTCCAAGGCTTTTGCAGACAGACACACCCAACTCAGAGGTGAGGTGAGTCTCTGGCATCTCAGACCTACACTAGCTAGGCTAAAACCAGTACAGGTATGCTTACCTAGACTTCTAGGATGCCTTCATGTGGTTAGGCAGATCCATGCTCTCATTCAGACTAAATCAGATAACCCCAAAAAGGGCAACTCAGCCTGCTCAGCACAGCTCTGCTAGTCCTAAGGCACAGCTGGGTAAAACCATACAGCTCCTGGCCTCTACAAGAAAGCCACAGGCAGAGCTGGAGGCACTTTGGGCATACTAAATTGAGTGTGTGGAAACAGCTGGAGGCATGTCCTGTGCCCCTTGTTTGCAGTCAGCTGTGGAGGTGTTTTTCCTCCCTATTGCTCAATCCGCAGCATAAGCCAGAGCCTTACTCGATCAGGCAAACTCAACCGCTCCAAGAGACCCCCTGAGCATTTGACATGGGTGTTACTACTCTCAGAAAAAATGTGCTGATTTAAATCAGTAGCAAGTCTGGCTCAGAGAGCAGCCGTCCTATCACTCTTCCAAAGAAATATTCCATAAACAAGGCAGGGAGCAGCACAGAAAGAATAAGCGAACAACTCAACACGACCACAACAGCTCAGGAAGCCTCGGTCAAGAAGCTGCTCAGGCATCTAGATAAAGAATACACACACCCTTTAATGCTATGATACATCTTTGAGTCAGATTTCCCCTGTAGATAAGAAGCACTGATTCAAGGAGGAGACACTCCTCCCAGAGGACCTCTAAGCCCGTAAGCGGAGTTTATAAAGAATTTTCCTTACTTTCTAGCTGTCCCATCAAGCCAGACATGAAGAGAAAGAAACAGCAGACTTTGTTGTCAAATCTCTCTGTTGAACTTTACACTGCTTTCTAAGGAGAATTTGGAGTTCAGACAAACATAGATCTTAACTCCAACAACTGTGGGCAAGGTCTTCTTGAGGTTAAAAGGCAGATTTAGCATATATGGGAGACACATCACCCTCTGGTTTCCACATTTAAAAGTGCTCAACAGTCAGGATACCTTTTCTCTCTTTCTGAGCAGTCATCGCTAAAGGTAGAACTGAGAATTCAAAGCCTGGATGAGATTAGATCTTGTGGTAATACCTGGAGTTTTAGCCTGCACTAAGTAGGCCTGAGCAGGGTCTTTACCTAAGTCTTAACTATAAGAACTGGTACTTTTCTAAGGCTCTTGACAGTGATGACTTTCCTATGATAAAGAAGGAAAGTCCAAGAGGAGGCTGACAGACAGGTTACTTATATGAATGTGAAAGGAGTGTCAGCAAGACTAGGTTAATCGTGGAGAATTTTTGTAAATGCACAATACAACAGGCAGAAAAATGTTATCAGAAAAGGGAATATTATAAAGCTAAGAGTTTATTCATATTAACAAGAAGTACTGTTTTCTCCTGTCATGCTTCCTTTTTGCTGCTATCAATGTTTTACTTGTTATTTCTATATATCCATCTCTGCTTTCACCTAACCTCCAGCTATAAACAAGAATGTTACAAAAAAATGTAATTGCAAGGCAAGCATAAATAGCCACAAGGGCTTAAAATTGGCCATTCTGGAGACCAAAGACAAGCAAAACATCCTCATGAAGTGGCTGGAAGGCTGTCAGCAAAAGGCAGCTTCTCTGATCACTGCATAGCACAAGTAAGAGTATGGGGTTAAAGGAAAAATGTGCATTCAGCCAATCACAGACACATCGTTCTTTTAAAACACTCATCGCTGTAGATCAACAACTACTGAATGTATTATATTAATACCACGGGACTCCAGGAAGTTTTCTGGTTAGAAACACAAAGCTGTGGCAAGCCACTTACAGTAGAGTGGTTGCCAGCAAGGGAAAACCACGCATCTAATTTTCTAAATTCATCCTACTCGATTCATTATTTTTCCACACATTTTTATTTAAGGAGGAGACACCTGTGTCTAAACAGCAGATGAGAGATACTGCGCTGTGTACGCCCCAGTGTTGTGATACCATGGTGACATGCCCTCTAAATAAGGTGGTTAATGGTGAATAAGCTTCCTCTCCGCAGTGGCTTTGGTTCCTCCCCTCCGCTGTAATGAGTCACCACATCCCATTTGCTGCCGTTCTGAGCCAAATAACCATCACTGACTTCAGATCTGATACTGCAAAACTAACTCCAAATACTTGCCTTTAAAAGTTTCTTCTAAAAGCCAACAAAAATAGAAGAAAGGATAATCTAAAGCCCAAGGGGCAGAACTCTGGTGTCCAGAGAACCTGGTGCGGGGACAACCTTTACTATGTTGATGATCAGCTATGCCTTTTATGCATCACAATATCGTACAGTCCAGGTCAAAGACAATGACGCAAGTTTATAGGCTGCATCTGGCTCATGGACCAAAGACTCTTGGGCTAAAAGGAACATGTGTACCACTGCTCATTAGCCGAGCTGTTCGGTCACACATCCCCTGCCAAGAAGCCTGTTGCAGCAGTGATGGGTGCATGTGCTCTGGATGCCTCATGTCCCTGCAGTACTCCGAGATGTTCTGAGTGGCTTAGCAACAGTCATGAAACTCCACACGTTGCTTTGTGATCAAGTCTTTTGGGGGATAAATAAGATTCCTACGAAAGGAAAAAAAAAGGAAAAAAGGATTCCTACAAAAGGAAAAAAACTACGAAAGATTCCTACAAAAAAAATCAATGCAATAAAAACCACAGCTTTCCAGGAGCACCCGCCATCTTCCAGTGCAATCTTCTCTGTAATGTCCTAAAATGTGATGGGACATCGGTGTCAACACACAAGGTTCAAGCAAGTAAATGGAAACTTAAGCAAATGTATTGATACAAATGCTGGTATCAGATGAGGCAGTGGCAAAAAGAAAAAGAAAAAAAGCATTTGTACAGCACATCTGCTAGTCTCATTGTGTGAAAAAGCAGAGATTCAACACAGGCTCTTAGTAACTCAACAGCTATACAGAGAAAAGATCAATAGCATCTAATTTTTAATCAACCACTAAACTGTCACACAATACCAAAATCCTGCCCAGATTCATAAGAAGATAGCAGGGCAAGTCATCGCAGTACTCAGGCATGGTGAAAACAGTAATATGACCAAGAACACTAACAACCTCCTATTCAAATATTGGTTTAGGAGGTAAAATAATACCAGCTTTGAGTCAGTTTGTATCCTTCGGTGATATTGTACAAACCCTTGAGAACAATGACTGGTCCAAAGATCACTAAGGCAACAAATACTTTCATCAATTTAAAACAAGGTTTGGCATTACCAACAGCAACTCCACGACTTGAAAATGAAGTTACAAATTTTTCATTCCAGTGCTTTTGCTGCCACAATATCCAGATAGAAAAGCCAGGAGCCTGTAGAAGGCAGAAAGCAACTAAGTGCCTTCAGAAAGGAGCACGTCTACAAAATGCCAGATGTTGAAACGGCATTACAATCAACTCTAATTTCAAGTTGAACAACTCCTTAGATGTAAAGTTTCGCAATAAAAAAAGAGGACAGATGTCTGGCATGTATGTTAAGCACTGAGACATGCTTCATGCCAAGATAGTCATGGTGGGAGACATGGTATCAGGCAGAGAGAGAACACATGAAGGAAGCTAGTGACATACCAAGGACTTCACTGATTACGCAACAGAGCCTAATCCCTGCCACAGATGATACTGGGGCATGGGGACAATTAAATTCACAATCTCAGTATTTTTTGTTGTCAGGGCTTTTTACACAAATTGTATCTAGTTATTGAAGCACTAACCTAAATAACTTCTGCAAGAAAACATAAGCACAAAATACGGGAAATAAGCTTCCCTATCCGTTATATTTTTGGACATGAAAACACAAGTAGCAGCAGCGGGACTAGAAACGAAGAAGCCACAACGTGGCTAATATTATGCTGATGAAAAGCAAACAAACAGAACTTAGTTCCTTTGCCAACCCCACTCTGAAAGCACAACACATGGCACGTATTAGTCATGTCTCCCTACATCCGAGAGCTTTCCCTCAACCATGCTATCAGTCTCATCTAAAACCCTCTCCCTACAGTTATGGAATAAATAGGAGCCTCACTGCTTCCACTTCAGTCGATTTCCTCTCGCACGCCCACAGCTGTCCTCCTCACCAGCCTCCAGGCTACCTTTTGGGAGGAGAGGCACAGAGGCACTCGCCTAAAACCCCTTCTGCCAGGCAAGCCAGGAAAGAAGCTTCAAGACTGGGACAGCTGTGCACACACAGCCAGGTTAAGCCACTCACTTCCCGCTGTCCCCTGGCACTTTTCTGCAGCTCCAGAGGCTTCTCCGGGGCCAGCCACTGCAAATGCAGAGGGCTCACAGGCTGGCCCATCCGTCCTGAAACACTCTGGCTTTGCTTTCCTCAAGTGCTGGCGAGCAGCAGGGAATTCTCCAACATAAATCTGTTTTCTCTGTACTGCATCTTTCCAGGTTTTAGGGGGTCCCTCCTGCTCGGCAGCACTCTCTCCCACTGGGGAAAGAAACGCTCCACAATGCACTCAACTGCTCTTCTAAGGAGACTGTTAAAGGCAGAAGTTAGACAGGCTACTCTCAAGCACACGGATGCGGAGATGAAAGGAACTGGTAGCAACCAGAAAAGCCATCAGGAAACCAGTCTGTGTCATCCGCACTCGGTGCACGCAGAAAGGCTGTGCTCAGCAGACAAACACACACGGTCTCTACCTGCAAGCTGCTGAGGTAAGGCAAGAAACATCTAATTTGATACGAAGAGAGGTGGTAGGATGCAAGATGTATTCACAGAGTAAGATACAGCCTAGTACAAATCCACATGGCACAGCAGGGAAATGTGGTGTCCTGGGGCAGCACCTGCATGGGAAACTCAGCTTTCTGCCTCCACCTTACCTAAGGCCCCTTGGCAGATGTCCGTGCGAGTGGCTCCACCGGCTATGAACTGGGGGCTGGAACACAGCTCCTGGGAAAGAAAGAGGCCTTGCATTACATATATCCACAGGTAAAGGAGGGAACAAGGCCTCACAGCAAATTCAAACAAGCGACTGACCACAGCAGGACAACGCCACAGAGGTGGAGATAGTCAGGAACGAGTGCGGGGCCATCAGACACGCTAAGCGTGGTGAGAAAGGGGGCTGGTGACCAAAGCTTGTGGGCAGCCATCTCACTTCACAGTACATGCCAGGAGGTCCGCTGTGTTTTTACACACGTGCACGCACCGGCTCCGCTATTACCTCCCCACCACTGACTACGTCAGGGTCTTTCAGAAACACCTAGGCACCCCGGAGTCCCTCTGACCCGATGGCTCCCGTGGCCAGACAGGGCTGCTTCGGTAGCCAGAGGCGCAGGCTGAGCCAGAGCTCCTAAAGGAAACCTCCGCATGGTGGTCAGCTCATCTCTCTGCTAAAGAAAAGAGTTATCCACAGCGACAGCCCCGAGCGCTCCCAAAAGCAAGTGCTTTATCCAGCTGGAGAGTTCGGGCTGGGGAGGTGCACGAGGTGGACGAGGTGGATGGTTTTTTGGGTGTTCTGCTCTTCAGATGGAGCGTGTCGGGCTGCCAGCCC